TGTCTTTATACTTTTATGGGATGGGTGAAGTCTCTTGGTAAATCCCTCTGAAATTAATCTGTTTGATTTGAAGGTAGACTGTATTTAATCAGAGATGCCAACTCTTTTAAAAGGGAATTAAGACATATTTAGAATCTGCTTTTCATGAAGTCTGTGGTGGAAAATCTCTCTCCACAGGTTTCATAGGTTCTTTTAAACACAGATAAGTGAGCTGAAATGGTGAAAAACAGATTGCAAACATTGTTCTAAAATGACACTTCTAAATTAGGTTCCACCCTACTCCTTCCAGGGCTATTTTTCCACTGTTTCAGTTTTGGAATCACTATGGGAAACAAACTGCTGCGCTGACTTAAAGCTGCCTGCAAACGGAAAAATATGTGATACTTTTAACATGGATTTGAGCTAGGAGGCAGTGTTTCTTTATTATTAAAATACTGATAGTGGTTTTTATTAGAACACTATTTATTCAATGTAGAGTAAAAGTAATAAAAGGTATTCTGAAGACTAGGTTACTTCATTTTCAAAAAGACTCAAAGTAGGTAAAACACTGCACATGCAGTGCTCCCAAACAAAAGCGAGTTTTTTGTTTCATAGCTGTCAAATAGTTTGCCTATGTCCTCTGCTTTTCAGCATACTTTTTCATGGACTTAAATTTGCTCGCTAACCATTACAATGTTTCAGTGGCTAATTTTTATGTTTTAAACCAGATCTTTCAACCATGCAAAAGTAGCTTCTGTGAGGGGAAGAAAAATATTTTTTTTTTTTTTTTCCTATTGCTGGTAGTTAACATGAATGTTCTCCAAGTATGCCCAGGGATGGAAGTCATTGCACATTGTTCATCTTTAGTGCAAATACAGTGACTTTTTCCAGTTGTTCCTACCCCTTAGAGTGATTTGAGTGGTGGTCTTTTATACCCTTCAGAAATATTGAAGGGTCCGTCTTTTGTTTTGCTTTATCTTGGACACTACATGAAAGAACTACAATTGTGTCTTAGTTGGGTTGTATCATTATTGTTTCATCTGAAGACTATTTGCCTCTCTCCTTTCTTTTTCTTCTATTTTTTTTTTTTTTTTTTAATAGCTTCCTTTTGGTTTATTCCACTTCATGCAAATCTGTACCCTGTTAACATGTCTGCCTTGCCTCCTCCCTGTGGGACCAGCAGTCTCTGTGCCTGGTCTCTCTTCTGTAAGGAGAAAGCTGGAGAGTTTTCTCCCTCCCAAATCCAAGGTGGAAGGTATGGGAGGTAGGGAAAGTTTAGAGAGGAGATGTCTCTGAGCATGGTATCTGTTCTATCACTGCTTTATCAGAGAATATGAGGGACAATGTGCTGTGTGCAGTGAACGTTTTCAGTTTATAAACACTGTATTTGGCCAAGAGCAAATGTACTTGTTGCATACAGTGCAATTAAAAATGTCCTAGTAAGTCTAAGGAAATACCTTTTATCCTCATGCTTCTTATATTTCAATGGCAAAGTCTGCTTACCCTGATTAAATAAGTTCTTGAATATGGTGTCTTTTTACAGACTTATTGTTTTTGGCTTCGTTTTGGTTGTAAAATTAGTCTTTTGGTAAACATTTGACACTTGTCTGTGGCCACCCATTTAATGTGAGCATTTTTCTTGCAGTTGCTGCATGTCAGAGTAGACATGGTATCAATGAATATTTTGTCCCCTGCTTTAGCTCAGGGCATAATATCCATATATATGTCTTCCAAATACGGAAGACCCAGTGCTGAAAGGTGAAAACATCCTTTCTGTGAGGGACATCCCAGTCTGTGAGGAGCCACCTGAAAATCTTTGTTAAAGACTCGTGGGTGTCCCAGTCCTTTGGATTTCTGGGGTCCTCTCTTGACCACCTTGTGCGTATCTGTTTGCAAGATCAGGAACTGTAATTGGCATAGACAGTAGGGATGTTTGATGCTTGAAATACATCCTGTAACGGGTATTTTAGAAATGCTTTTATAAATGTTTTGATAACTTCCTTTGTTTTCCAGGCCTCCAGTAGTGCAGGGAATCTGGGTGTGCTTATTCCTGTTATTGCTGTGGTGAGTATCCAATGGTTGGGTTGTTACAAACAGAATAATTTTTCTCACATATGTCAAAATATTGGTGCTATTTCATGGTCAAATAGTTTAATTAACAAGTAGTGCAGAAGTAAGCATCCAAGAGAAATACAGTAGTATTGTAAAATAATATCTCTTGCTCTGAGAGGGGGGGAAACGTTTGATGATGACATAGCTCTTAAAATAATAAATCTTTTGTGATTGAGAGTTAGATTGTTGCTAGTCATGAATTAAAGAGATTCATGATATAGATAATATCACGGGGGATATTTCTTTGAATAGTGCTTGGCGTGCAGTGTAGTAAATAGCATGTTTGTGTGGCCTGCGGAGAAAAATGAAAAATAAAATTTAGTAGAAACAGAGTTAAAAATAAATTTTAGTTTGGTGGAACGGTGAATTCTGCTTCTTAAAAGGAAAAAAAGAATCATTGAGAAAAGAGGGAGGAAGGGGAGGAAAGTATCCTGTGTCTTCTGAAACTAGAATTGTCTGTCATGCTGAAAGCATTTTAGGAAATGTGCAAGGATGCTGATATCCATTCCAGACTGATTTATTTTGATGCATTTCTGGTTTTGGTCTCTGATGACAACTTTTTCTAGGGGAAAAAATATTTTTTTAACAAAGTGTAACTACTCAGTCAAAAACCGGTGTGCGACCATTCTAGATTTCCAACAGAAAATTGAGTATGTCCAAGCTGAATTTCCAGGTCAGTAGGACTAGTTGCCTAACTGCTGTAGCTTCTACAAAAAGTATCTAGAAGATCCATAGACAAACTTAAACTTACTGGAGAACAGAAAACCATCATGTCACTTTCTCCCCTCCTAAAGTTGAATTTTTCTGTGAGGCTTTGCTTGCACAGCTAATGGGATGGAAAGGGAGAATGTATTGCATACTTGCAGTAGGCATGCCTGCTTGTAACCTGCTCATACTGCACATCCATTAACAAGCAGAAAAAAGTCATTCAATTCATACTCTGCCCTCACAGCCCTCTTTACTGAAGCTTTGCAAAGAGAAGAGCCAAAAATTAGCACCAGTTAAAGATCAAAGAACTGTTCCTTTCCTTCCCCTGTCTCTTCCACCAGTTTCCAACATAAGCTCTTCCTGAATTCACTAGCAAACACAAGGGCCAGATCACAGCTTTGCAGAAATGTGGTTATAAATGTTTTAGATCTGTGTTATTCAATAGGTGCTCAGTTTTTGCCTGAACTAGCTAGAACTGTGTTGAGAGATATGTTCTAGTGGGTAGTATTTTTCAGCTGTCAGTAATGCTAACACTGATCTGAGTGAAAGCAAGATCATTCCTTGCATATTGAGAAAAGATTAGTGCTTCTTGGAGACTTAGTGTAAAAGTTATGAAAGTACTTGTATGTTTCGAATTTTTGTTGATGGTGTATTTGTTCTGAATAGCTGATGATAACTGCATTTTTCTTAACCAATGTGACCTTTAAATAGAGTCAGATAGTGCCAGAATCTGAAGCAAGAGTTAATGGTTACATTATGGTTGTTGAAGCAAATATTTGACTTTCTTGCACAATGTATGAAGATCATGAGTTTTGAGCAGTAGCTGATTTGCTTTTCTGCTTGAGCTCTTTCTCTTGAATAATTCCTGTTACTTAGGTCTCAAAACCCTCATATTTCAGATGTTCCAGCTCATTTAATCATTGATAAACTAATTAAATCTGGGGCATGAATATTTAATCTTGTGAATATGCTTTTCCTTTTGAATATAGATAAAACAATAAAATGTGTATATGAATCTTAATGATTTCTGTTGCAAACCACCTTCAGTACTGAAAATTGTCCTCCACACGGTGGTCTTATAAGAAAGCACAATGTGACACAGGAATCAAGAAACATCTGAGCTTCCTATTTGATATCAGCTCTTCATCATCTTTCATCATCAAATACCAATATTTCTCTGGCTGTCATGTTAAAAAGCTTTATGTATAGGGCAAATAACTGTAGTTGAAGCAAAATTAAAAATGGCAGTATATAAAAGCAAAATAAAATCAGTAATTTAAACTTAATATTAGAAAATACCTTTTTAAGAGAATTCCTAATCCTTAAAATAACTGTTGGTTTATAGCTTAATTTGCGTATTTTTGCTAACATAAGACAAATATATAATATTAATATATTTAGATGGCTACAATATTTGATATAGCAAATAATTATAAAAATACCCTCACTGGATTGTGAGGCACAATTTTTTTTTAAAGGTATGATGCAAAGGTGAGTATGTTCATTGGCTTTAACTTGAATGTATAATGCAACTCTGTTCCTTGTACTGGGCAGGTAGTAGTATGCTACAGAGTACAGGTAAATTTTCCCTTTTTCAAATGTGAAGCAGGCTTTTGTTACAGCATTCGTGTTGTTACCACAATGATTCAGAAAGCCTACAGTCTTAGTTTGACTTGAGAGGTTTTCTCCATTGAATCAAGTATGGAGAGTGTGTTTGAATTCTTAACAAATGTGATTGTTATAAATCATGCTTTATTTTGTAGAGAGGATTAGGTGATTTTGAGCCAGTGGAAAGAGCATTTTGCTAGCTGCTTTTACTATAAAAGGTATTCTAAGGATCTTTATATAATTGAGCTAGTTGGCCTAATTCTGATACAGCTTGTACCGATGAAGATGACAGAACTGTATTGAAACCATACGAGTTAGGTAGTGGATCCATTAGTATTTCATTCCTCCAAGACATTTTTATCTCTTCCTGTTTGGTACACCAGTCCATAAGGTTCATGGTGTGTAAACCTGCTGAATGTTAAATGATGCAAGTAAAAGAAAGAATGTAGACACCTATTCTTTTTCAAGTTAGATTATGTAAAATACTCAGGAGAGACTTAGACTTCTAAGACTGATCCAGTATTCAGGATTTACTTATTCTTATTTATTATAAATGGGCATCATAGCACAAATTTAGATCTAAACTTCAAGAATCCAGATAGTCTAAATATTTTATTGATTATATTTTATACACTGAAGTAGAACACAAAGTGTAAGTTACTTTGCGATTTATTTTTTTTAATACACTTGTATCAATACATGGCACTAACCATTTTAAATTGCAGTGAAATTATCTACTGCTATGAGTCCATTCATATGAAACTACCTGTAGATAATATATTTTCTTTCGATACCAGTGGCTTTTGTATTAGCTAATATGACAATAAAATTTCCTTTATGATACTGGTATATTAACTTGTAACGATACAGCCCATGTATAACTGCATGTTGGAGGTCTTCTCTGCTTTTAAGACTTGGCTGGGTTGACAACTCTACCCATGAACAGAAGGCAACTGGTACGATGTTCATAGATCAGAAACAAAAAAGGGCGGTCGACAATAAAGCGAATCTGAGTAGAAAGAGGCATGAACCCGACGTTGGTTATTGCTCCAGCCTCTGTGCCTTCTTCATTCACAGTTATTGTGCCTTGATGATTGAACTGTTTAAACAAACAAAAAAGAAATTGAGGATCTCCTAAGTATACTCAAATGATGTGCTCACAGCCTCCCCCCTCTTCATGTCCCACACGTGGCTCCCTTGTGACACGCTTGCTGGTAACTCCTGTGCAGCAGCAATCCTTTGGTTTTGGCTTGTGAATAAGCCTGTTCCTGACAGACCACAGCTCTTTTAGTGGCTTTGGCATCTGATTTAACTTGTTCCTCATTATATGAACGACGAGGACATGCAGAAAAATGCACATCCCTCCTATGTCTTCCAGCAAAAAAAATACTATTTTAGGTTACTGTGAATTACTTTTACTGTGTTGCCACATTTTCAGGTGATACAGTTTAATCAGAAAGAAAAAGAGGAGTAAATACCCTGTCAATGGTGACTTTCTCATCCGATATACCAGAGTAGTCCCCTGTTTCTTTGAACAGTTCTTCTATTCCCATGGATCTCAGATAACCAATCAAGTTATAACTCTTCTCCAGCTTAAATTTGGGCAGAACCACTTCTCTTGTTCTAATAAAAATAAAAACGAAAAATCATCGAAAAGATCCATATTTACATGATTCCTTTGCTTTACATATCTGTTGTGGTTTGGTTTTTTTACTGTCTTCAGCAGGAAGGACACAAATATACAGGACTGTTTACTGTACTTTTACTTTCAAAAATTGTGCATCGTTACTTTCAAGCTGTGTTTTAAAAAATTAATTCCCTTCCCAAAACTTTTAGTTTGTCAATTTAATATTTCACTTATGATGATTTATGTTATTTATGTGTATAAGTTGTGTGGCCTTGAGCAGTTCAGTACATGGCTGGATATGCTTATAATAAATATTGGACTGTCATTTTGTGGAGTACTAAGGTGGAGATTTGTCACTTATTGTATACAACAGAAATAGGTTGGGTTCCTGAATAGCACATCAAATCAGCTCTTTTTATCAAGTCTGAAGACAGATACCACCTGATCTGTCATCTTGCACAAGAGAGGCTATATAATTTTTTCTCTCCCATAATTGTGATGTGCCATTTGTCCCACGCATTGTGATGCCTTTACACAACAGATATGTTGAAATGCAAAGTGCTGAAGTGAACACAGACTCTTCCATATGATTGAGATTATTTTGTACAAATAACCCGTTATTATCACACTCATGTTTTTTTTACTCATTGTAAACTTTGTCAGTAAGAACTTTTTAATGTTGTAGATTTAAAGAAATACTTAATAGAATTTTGGAACTCCATTAGAATTTTCCACCTCAACCATCCCTGATTTCCTGGTGGCATTTTAAGTTTTGAGAGATCACTGGTCTTGATTTTTGATTCAATAAATCAATCTTTTGGGAGTTTAGGTTTAATGTTTTTCATCAAAATATCATGTTGCATTCTGTGCTCTTTACTTACCTTTGCCAATATCATCAAGAAAATACATTAAGACTTTAACAAGATGTACTTTTCAGCAGATACCTGTTTGTCATGCTCTTCTGCCATTTTTCCACCACTTGAGGTGTTATCTGCTTTTCTAGGGCTTTCATGCCAGAGAGTTTGTGTGGAAGTACAATCATCATACTGATGTTCCCGACGAATGGGAGCTGGATCACACCGCAATCTAGCTCAGGGTCTGCAGCAGCAAGGAAGTTCCCTTTAGTCTGCATCATAGGAACTTTTATTGTTTGCTTCTCATTCAGTCGGAAACTTTTCTTCATTGTCATTTCCACTGGAAACTTATTCTCCCAAGTTCCTGTTAATACAGGACAGAAGTCAGATAAACAAAAAAATCCAAGATCATTGTTTAATAAATATTCAATTTTTATATATAAGTTTACATTAAGTTTTAATTCATGTGAGTTGGGAATTACTGTAGGAGATTATTGATTTCAATTAAGCCTAAATAAGACAAATTTTAAAGTGACTTTAAAATTTGTGTCTTGCTTTCTCAATTTACATTTGTCTGATTTGAATGTTCTGAATTACAAAAGCAGGTAAACACAAACTGGAGATTTGAAAGGGCTTGGTGTGTACTATTTTTTTCTACAAGGAACCTGGGAATTACAAAGTTCAAACAGATGCAGAATATTTGACAGGGTTTGTACCTAGCAAAACAACTGACACAGCTGTATTTTCTGAGAGACCTGATAACTGAAACCAGACTGTTTCAAGCATCAGCACATCAATTTAAGTAATGGCTGTTTTCATTTTGCAGAAAAGATACTATGCTGAAGGTATTACCTTGACTTAGCCAGTTAACTTTCTGTGTTAAGACATGCTGAAGAGTTCAGGTGTTGACTGCTTAATTCTATGACCCAGTTTGATGTGATTTCGGCACATCTACACGAGCCTGTCAGATGACAGGTTTATGCCCAAAGAATACAATTCAACATATTTTGCAGCCCAGAAAGCTTTTCCAGCAGGGTTCAAATCTTTCTATCTGAAGATTCTTTGGGTACCTCACATATTTAATGACTGTGTAAAAGAAGGTGCTTTTTTAAAGCAATGTTCCTATTGATCTCTTCTGAACCAAGGCTCTGGAAAAGTTTCTTCTTCCTTAATGAGCAAAGCTTTAAAGCTAGACAATTATAGTGGAAATAGGGTTACTGGTATTTCTTGTTAAAACTCCAGATTTTAGGTCACTGTTGGCAAGCAAGTACCTGGGGACTGTGGCTGCAACTGTGTGGAGAGAGTACAAATACAACCTTAATCAGTAACCTTTTTTTAAAAGGTTGCAAATGTTTCTGAGATCCTTAGTCTGACTTTGCTAAACTGACTGTGAAGTAACAAAAAAAAGCCTTAAGTCTAACTTTCATTTTAATAGATTCTTCATGTGTTGGGCTGATGGGTTTGAGGAGTGATCAGACTGTGGTTAATATTCTGAAGGGAATGGCATATAAAATTGATTATGCTCTTCCCAAACAAACTGTTGCACTTCTCAGGAAAAACCAACATCTGGCTGTTCTTCAAGGAGCGGAATTCACAGGCATAGGATTCTAGGTAGCTAAACACACGAAGATGCTGTGCGTTGGGAGAGCTTCAGCAGCACTGTCATCACCTGAGAAATGGGAGACATTCATCAGCTCTTTGTAGTAAAAGAGAGGAGCTGGGGAACTTTTTTCTTGAATTCACTTTTGCAGATATGTTTCTCTTGGGGTAAAATACTGTTCTCTAGCAGGAGGCATGTTGTCTTCTGGGGTCAGCTGAAACCAGCCGGCACTTTGACTTTTTTGGCTTCCTGTTTTGAAACTTCCCACCAAGATGTCTTTTAGACCTGTATTTGTGGTGGCAGAAGTTGTCTTCACTGATGTCTCTCTTGCATTTGTGACTAGGATCTCATAGAAGCCATTTTGTATCTGTCAAAATCTGTCAGTTATCAAAAGCTGCAGTGATCTACCATGGCTAAAATAACCAGCTCCTACTTGATAGGAAGCTCATAAATGATTGTTCAGACCTCTGCAGAATGGAGAATACATCTCAGTTGGAGGTAGAATGGGCACCTATACCAGATAAAACTTGCCTCTTACCAACAGGAATAGTTTCCAATAGTTTCTTGATGGTATTTAGTATAAAAGGAGCTGGAGACTTCATGGTGTTTGGCAAGTAATCTATTACTTAATATCACTTGTACTGAGCATCTCTGTGTACCTGAGAATAGTCATAGGTTTCTTAGCTCTGAGGGCTTAACAGAGCTTATCTGCAATAGCACAGACAGTGTAAATATTGTAAATAGAAAGATATAGACAAAAATTAGCATGTCTAGAAGGACTGGTGGGGAAACCAGGAGCAGAACTTGCTTTTAAAAAGTTCGGTTCCACTAGAAATGGAATTACCAGTAGAATATCACTGTAAGATGAAAGAATGGGAGACAGCAATATGGAATTGATCTTTTTGGTTTAGAGGGTTAGAAATAACAGCCTTCAGCAGACTGCATCAAGGCGATTTGGACTAGCAGGATTCCATGGGGAGAAGAAAATGCCAAAGGTCTTTTTGGTCTTGATGACTCAAGAGTTCCAGAACTAAAGCTGTTTAATTTTTGGTGGTGTTCTTGTTATTTTGGGATAGCACAAGTATTTAATAATTTTAGAGAAAAACAGAAAGGTATTTTAAATTTGACTAAATTGTGAATAAATTATGTATTTGTCTCACACTTTGCATAATCCTTTTCCTGTGATGATCTAATGGACAGTAAAGCCATGTATTTAATAACATATGATCATCAGAGATGTACTTAAGGAGACAAGTCCCTTTTGTCTGGTACTTCAGAATAGGGGATTATTTGGATCTTATGCTAATGATTGCTTCAGATCTTTTAAAGAGGCAAGTGGCATTATTCAAGGAAGTAACACCTTGCAAGTGAGTGAGAAATGGTCCATTTCATAAACTTATGGGAATGGTGTTCCATAAGTTCCTACAATCAAATGCTGAGAAGGCAGGTGTAAGAGAGCCTTTGAGGATTTGCTTCCTGGAAGCAGGGACATAACTGGGAAAAAGAAACTCCTTCAAAAGTTATGGAAAGGAGTATACTGTACTTCCAAACATTGTTACCCATTTGTGCTAATCTGTCTTTCCTTATGAGTGTTTTAAGTCACCTTCATCCGAATTTCATCTTAAACAGTCAGTAACAGTTTTCCTTTTTTTCCTCAGTTCCTCTTTCATTGGCACCTCCCACCTCTTGCTCATTTAATGCCATTTTTAAAGTTTGTTGAAAAATTAATGAACTTTCAACCTGAGGCAGATAACTAATATTGAGAATCTCACCACAGATACTTAGTTTAAATGTGAAAAAAATTAAAATAAGGATTCATAATAAGAATATATTGAACAGTCTTTACCTTGAGCCTCTTTAACTGTTCAGCCTATAGTAATACATGTAGGAGCCCATATCAGTAGACAGTTCATGCTGAGTGAACTGAAATATTCCATGTGGTGAATGCATGTGGTTTTAGTTGTAGAAGAATACTGTTTTGGTTATTCTCTTCAGTCCCCTGTATAGGCTTGTTGACAAGGATTGTGCTCTGATCATATAAAAAAATACATACTTTAAGCTGAAATTCTTTATAGTCATTCCTATGGATCCTGAATACTTCAGAAATATTAAGTGTTTTAACTGAAATCAACCTGTATTGTTTCAGTGAGGCCAATAGCTTGAAGCAGGACTGAATGTGATTAATAACATGCATTGCACATGCATTAATACCCCACCATCTGAGACTCCTACAGAGCTTGTGCTTTCTGAGGCTATTCTGCATTCCTTACATTGTTTTGTAGTCTCACTTTTAGGCTGTAAGGTTTGGGATGTAATAAGCATTTGCTGTATTTGTACAATACCCACTAACTTCAGGGCATGACTGGAACTTCGGTGTGCTACAGGAACATGCAAAAATGGGCTAATAATAGAGATTCTTCTTAATGAGAATGTCAGTAGGCTTTTTTTGAACTGTAGACTAGATTTAAGTTCAGTCTGGGTTTTCTAATCAAGTATGCAGTGAATTACAAATTGATAAAATCCATTGCTAAGATTGAATTAACAGATTCTTACCTTTGAAGTAAAGACAGTTGAGAATCATCATCAGTGTTGTAGGGTTTACATTCACAAGAGCTTCCTTTATTAATCCTTTGGTCAGCTTCAAGATGCGTTCATTTGTTTTAGTTATGAAGCTGGGATCTGAAAAATCAGCTGGTTGGGCATCAGCAAAGTAGTATGTTTTCATATTGTTTCTGAAATCATTAAGAATAGAAAAGTCCTTTTGAATGTAAAGATCATTGACCGACCTCAGGGTATAACCAAAATTGCGCCTGAATAGCCGATGAGTGAGTTTGCGGAAGAGATTATGAACAGTCATGAGCTCATATTTGGTGCTGGCGTTAATGAATTCTTGAAAGCCAAGAACAGATAATACTTCCTGCTGAGTTTGACCCTTGAGACCCAGAGAAATCATAGCCATTGCAGTGGAAATGCCAACAGGAGCCATGAGAATATTATCTGAAGAGTTGGCTTTGTCTGCCACACTGCGGTAAAGGTCAAAGCCGAAGTTTGCATTGAGGATATTGAGACGCTGGATTCTGGTTTTGCCTTGGAATAGTTCAAGAATATTTCCTTGCTGAATTTCAGAAACCATGTATGGGCCAGCATCAATAATGTCACTATAGTCATCTTCACCCAGTATCTTGTCGAGGTCTAGATAGTCCTCTTCCTCCTCTTCTTCAGGAATCAAGTCATTAGTGATAGTGTTTTCTCTGTGGAACTCTGGTGATAAGTTTGGCATATCATAGGTCCCATTTTCTTGTGGCTGTGCATCTTTAAGGCTTTCAAAATGCTCAGCAAAGTCCTTGACTCCACAAAATGTGGCAGTTATGATGAGAGCAAGGGCAAGCAAATGAAATAGGAGCTTCATCCTGACAGGTCAAAACCTGGAAGACAACATAACACATTTGAGAGGCTAGGGCAATTTCATTTTAGTTATTTATTCCCTAATTTTAGGTTTAAGCTGAATTCTGTCACAGCAGAAGGTCTATAGTTGCCTTATTCAACAGCATTTTTTTTTAGTGGAACAGAGCTTAATTAGATGGATAAATCTGTTTTACTGGTAATTGGTTTTGCTTACATAATGCCTTCAGCCTGCCAAAGAATTGGTTGACCTCCTTCTGTGGAATTCATCATTATTAGCATATTTCAGCAGAAGCAAAGTCATTACCAAAAATATGTGGGATTCTTTATTTATAAACCTGTAACACTTAAAATGTGTACTAACTGTTACTAGTGTATGATAAAAATATGACATGAAGATAAGTTTGAACATTCGAGCTTGGTAGGAGGAGGGACTAGGTATCCACTGAAGGAGCATACCAGAAGGCTGAGTTGTACTGAAGAATGTGAAAAGCAGACACTCTGTAGCTACAACAAAAAATGGGACTTTTATGGGAGTATTTTTGGAAGAGCAATGCTGAAATTTGATGGAATAAAGGAGATCAAGGGATTTAGCAACAAACCTGGAGAAATACGCATTTGCACTAAATACCGTTAGTGAGACTGCAGTGTTAAAACAAAAAATCTTACTTCATCATTGATTAGAATGTTTTTTTAAATTTGCAAAGAGTCCATAAAGCTGTTCTGTAGAAGTAAAATACATAAATATACATACCTGCATCTCTGAATAAAACCAGTGCTTGAAGGAAAATATTTACAAACATGTTGTAACAGGACTGCAGTAACTGAACTGACAGTTTAATTTTTGAAACTCTCCCCCTGAACTAATTAGTCTGAAATCCAAAAAGCAGTTAAGGTGATTATCCCATACAAAAAATGAATTATTTTGCAATAAGGAAGGATCCACATAAGGTGCTTTTTCAGTGGTATTTATACTGTGACCAAACGACTCAAGTCAGTCTTTTTCTCACTCTTCCTTCATAAATTCATTACTTTTTTTTCCCCGCCCCCAGAAGTCAGTCCCTTAGGGATGAGATACTCTATCCAGTAACCATTGATAAATGTTTTCTGCTTTTGGCATAGAGGAATTTACTCTCTGTAGTTCCCAACTTTACATTCTCTTCTTCACCAACGTTCAATTATTGGTTAGCTGCACTTAACACCAGCAAAACATTCCCCCACTCTGCAATATATATGTCTTTAGTCAGATCTACCTAAAATAACAGAAGATGTAAATGAAGCTTACCTTTAAGCCACTGTATGGAAAGGATGTGTTGAATAGCTGAAGTAAGGGGAATGGCAGGGTTTAAATCTGAACTTTGACGCTAGTTTTTTGTGTATCTCCCAAAGTAAACATTCTCTAAACCAAACACTGCTAAACTTACTTCGTCAGCCAAAATCCCTCCCTTGCCTAGTGATCTCTGCTGAATTGTATGTTGTTTGTTGAACTACTTTTACAGCTTTGCAGGTACTTGTTCACTTTTGAGGAAGATCTTTGAGCAAAAATTGGTGTGTATGTAAAGTTTCAAAGTCAAGCATGCACATAAACTTGACTGTTGATGACTAGTAAAAGCCGTGTCGCTGCTATTTTGTGCTGAAATGCGGGGGCATCCTACTGCAAATATGGTTGAGGCCACTGTGCTTGTGATGGTCAGGTTTTTTCAGTCAGTGTTATATTGGTGCAAATATTTGTGTTGCACAAGCAACTTTTTACCATAGTGCCATTCACCAGATTAGACTCAGATTAATTTTACAATAATAGAGGGATTTTTTCCTTTTTTTTTTTTCCTAAATGAACAATCTGTCTCCTAATTTACAAATATATCCAAAGTTGGCTTTATATGAGGTTGCACTGAAATACTTCTGGCTTTCATACCTCAAGTGAATCATTGTACGGTTAGAGAAAACTTCTTGAAGCTAGATTAAAATCTAACATTGTCTTAATAAAGTTTACAGTAATAATACCCAGTCATGTTGAATAAAGCTGGCAGTTTTAATGGTCCATTTCTTTCACTTTTTAAACACTGCTTGTGCTTCTGACACTTTTAGGATAACACACAATAAGCTTTATTATATAAATTTATCTAAAATTGCGTATCATGTTGGCTGGGAGTATAAGATATGCCCCTCCAGTGGTAGCAGCTGTTTGTGCATAAAGTAGCAGAGAATTTTAAGAAATGTGTTGAAAATAATGCCCTTTTACTTGCTTGTTTAGATAGTAAATTCCCCAGAGCTGATGTCATTGTGTGCGTGGGTCCAAACAATGAAAGATCCCCAATTGGTGCCTCAATGTATTTCCACAAAGCCAATAAACAATAGCAACCAGAAGTATGTTTGACTAATGTTTATTTGGTTTTGAGTTCCTTTGCACTGAAGCAAAGCTGCACGGCATTGTCTGCAGCACAGTTTAAAGGACCGTGTGGTCTCTTCCTCTCTGCAGTTGACAGTATACTAATATTATGTATTCTCTTCAGAGGTTACTGTATCAGCATGGTATTGTTCCTGTGTAAAACAAAGGAAGTTCTTACTTCAGGCATGTCAAATGTTAGTATTTCAGATATTCTGACAAGATCTAATTTTCTTCAACATAACAATAGTAACGTAATACCAGTTTTCATAGGTGACAAAGAATATTATCTTCCTAAATAATAATAAAAAAGGTACATGTATTGATTCCTTAGCATGGAATTAAGTTATTGTATCTTCCACTGTTTTCTGATGTGAATTTTTATTTCTTTGGTAGCTCACTAGACGCTTGCCACCCATCAAGGAGGCCAAGCCCAGGTTGCAGAAGCTGTTCCGTGACTTCTGGTTGTATTCAGTGCTGATGGGATTTGCGGTGGAAGGATCAGGTAGTGTAAATTCTAAGAGAGCAGCATTGATGCTCAGATTTAAAGTCTTGATGAATCCAAGTGTAACTGCAAAGTGTTCACAGTAGTCTGAAGAAAAATTAGAGGCATAAAGACATTACAAAGCAAACAGCTTATGTGACAGTTCTCTGGTAGGATTTCTTTACGTCTTTGCTCTGTTTTTCTGTGAGATTGAGCACAGTACAACTTGTACTTAGGTTTTCTTTTTCTAAGCTAAAACAGCAGTTACCCTTAGTTAAGTTTGAGTTTTTAATAGCTAAGTTTCTGAAATGGAAGACCAGACGCATTGGTAATCAGGTAGAAACTTCTTACCCCTTGAGAAACTTCATTTGGAATTACCTAAACACATTTATTATGTTTGGAACATGGACTTGCGTTGAGTGTTTGTGATTAAGTGTATGAAAAATTTGCCCTAGGAAGTAGTACGAAACTTGACAATGCTAGTTAACTTTGTGAATCTTAATATTGTTTTTCTCTTCCACCCCACTTTCCTTTTTATATTTGTGCTCCAGGTCTCTGGCCAGAAGAATGGTATGAGGGTGTGTGTGAAATTGCCACCAAGTCTCCATTACTCACATTTCCTAGCAAAGAACCACTTCGATCTGTTCTTCAGTACAATTCTGCTATGAAGAATGACACTGTGACTTCTGTAAGAGTTAATTTCTTCTGTTATCTCCTTCCATTATGTCCATCAGTGTTAAATGATACAGTAACCATGATTTATTGAAATAGCACAATACTCATTCAATCTGCCATCTATTAGTGAAAAACAGCTTTTTTATACTATTCTTATGACAACAGTGTACAAAAATTACTTCGGTTTAGTTTTATTGAGTGTTAATACAACTGTTTAGAGTGGTAGCTACACTATTTTGATTAGGTATAGAAACCAATTCTTTGTGGAGGTGGAAGCCTTTTAATAGTTTTTCATCCATTTTGGATCAGACAGACAAAACTTGCAGTGTTTAAAAGAAACAAATCAACAAACTTTGGAGGGGAAAAAACATATTCAGTCCTTCAAAGAAATGTTAAGTGAGCTTTTTCCTTTGTTATTCTCTGTCTTGGTACTGGAATACTTCTCTCTCTCTAGTGTTCGCAGGATAGATTTTACCTGAGGGCTATTTGTCGTAGCAGTGTAAAGTGAATTGAAGAGTTGCAGTTTATGAAATGCCTTTGTCTGGCTTCCAAATAATAAGGAAATCTGCATTTTGCCTGTATATTTAGTTCTGTGACATCAAAGAATGGCCCAACAAACCCATGAAGTTAAGAAGGGCAAGGTTGATGTTGATCAAAATTACGTGCATTTAGTGTAGGAACTCTATTTCTTAATTGGTATAACTGTATGGAAACTAGCAGTTATTTCAAAAGGGAGCTTGTCTCCACTATTTTAATTCTATATTTGAAGAATTGTGACTTGCTGAGTCAGAGCAGGTTGGTCTTGGTCTGCAGACAGAGGCATCCTGACATATTGTTTGCAGTGGTTAAAAAGTAAAAAGAGTAATAGCTGAAAGGAAACGTTTTCGGAGCACAAACTAATAATAGCCCTCCCACTTCAGATAACTTCATGTATTCATCTCTAGGCTGAATTAAATGAATTGCGGAGTACCATAATAAATCTCTTGGATCCTCCTCCTGAAGTGTCAGCGTTGATCAATAAGTTGGACTTTGCCATGTCTACCTATCTCCTTTCTGTTTACCGCCTAGAGTATATGAGGTATATATATGTACTTTTTTCACTGACGAATTTAGAAAAAGAATAAAAATTAAAAACTGTTCAAGTAAGAATTGCCAAACACTAAGACAAACGAGAATCAGTATTTTAAGTCACATTAACTCTGTTGGAGATTCCGAGACTGGGAATTCATCTATGCAAAAATGCCTATAGGGAAGATAAAAAGGATGGAATAATATAGTAGATCCCCCAAAATGGGATTTCTTCTGAAGAAGAACTACTAGAAAAAGGATGAAAGGGTTCTTTAAAGGATTGTCTTACAAGTGTAATGTATCCTATGCACAGTCTTGTGCTTGCATCTCTGAAAGACAGTGTAGACACTTGCATGTCCTGTAAGATTAGTGTAATGTAGGAGCTGAGAAAAATTTTTTGTAGTGTACTTTTTTTTTTTTTCTCCTCAGTATTGTGTATTAGGTTGTACTAATCAAATGTACTGAATTCACAAACTATTTTTTTTCCTTTAAAAGTGTATTTATGCTGCTGCTCAAAGAAGTGTGTAGCTGAAAGCTGAGGTGGAGGTCTAGCAGTGAGCAAGATAGGAAGAAACTTCTCCGTCTAATTTTTACTTTGATGATAACTGACAGACCTTTTCCAGAAACATCTTGACTGTATTTAGAAGCATTTTTTTTAAGAAGTGATATTTCCATCCTATGCAAATTCAACAAAAGCAAAGTCTACAGAAATGCCAAAGATTATACTGCGTTTATATGTTTGTGGTGACTGTATAAGTACATCATCACCAGGTTTCCCACTCCTGAGGTGCGAAAGTTATTCTCTCAGTGACAAAACAGCATTTTATGATCTCTGAGCCCTGGTAGTTGAATATAGAAACAAATAGCAAATAGCACATTTACTAGAGTTGTAAAATTATCATGAAATGAACAATTGCTATATGAGCATGGTGTGTATTGTGACATTAAAGTACATAGATTTGTGTGGAATATATTTAACAGAAAATAAAATAAAAAAAAAAAAAACTAAAACAAAAAAAAATCAAAACAACCCAACCCACAGACCTCTTCTTTTCTTAGGGTGTTGCGTTCAACTGACCAAGATCGCTTCCAAGTCATGTTTTGCTATTTTGAGGATAAAGCAATTCAAAAAGACAAATCTGGTAAGATTACTTGTCTAGGTTATCTTGCAACTTGAGATACTAGGAAGTTATCTCTAGGCATGCAAAACTAAAACAAATCAAGCAACTATATAACAAAAATAATCATGTTCAC